AAGCATTCACAGCTGGCAAAGAAACTCTAGGCTGTTTGAATATGTATTTTTATTTTTTTTAAGTGTGAAGGAATATGCCTAGTTACTCAGGCAATAAAAACTTTTTGGCAAAACAGCACAGAATACCTTACTAGATTAGCTGTCCAGGTTGGTTTTTAATCTTGTGTTTGGTGGTTTTTTGTTCTTTTGTTTTAAAAAAGGCTGTTTTCTGGAAGTGTTCTGGTCCTGTTTTTTCTTAGATAAATGGTCATAATTTCAAGTTTATGCTGTTGTAATAAAATTAATGTAGTGTACTCAGTAAGACTCAATCAAGGTTAATGTTCCTAGCCTGGTAATTTTTTTTACTTTGCTTTTGGATTACCTTTTGCAATGAATAACAAAGTGTGAGTAGTAACCATTGCAAAGAATAAAAGCACCATTTCATACAGAAGTAATTTATTATGTGTAAAGCAAAGTCCCTAAGTTTAAAAAAAAAAATAAAAAATTGAAAAGAATTTGCATGGGTGTTGTCTCCCTAATAGATGACTTACATTGTTTTCAGGTTTCTTGATAGAAGTCCTTTTTACTAGATAAATGTAATGCAGTGTACTAAATTTTTACTGGGGAAAAAACAAAAAACCAAACAAACAAAAAAAAACACAAAAAAAAACAAAAAAACAAAACCAGCATGACCTCATGAATCCCAAGTTCAGTCCCACACTACACTTAAAAGCATATTATATATTGTTCTGAATCAGTCTGCAAAGCCCAATGGTAGTGTTTACTCCCTTATTCTGAGTTAAGTCCTATTCTGATCACTTTCCTCTAGTGGAGGGAAAACTTTCTGGTACCAAGTGACCCATTAGTTGGAGTACAGAAGTACAACCTAAGCCACTCCTGTGGGAAGCAAGCCTTGCAATGTGTTTTGAGTACAGGTAAAGGCTCAGAAATCTAAAAAGCCCAGAGGCTGATTAATCTGTTCTTCTGTGCCTGCTACACAGTTTAATCACAAAATAAAACTGGGATGTGCTGGTAATTTTCCCCAAGAGTTGAGGCCTCTACATTGGTTATGTGTGCTCAGCTTTAGTGGGAAGCTGCTGGTTTTGGCTCCTGCTTTAGGGCAGGCCCTGGATGAAGCAGGAAGGACCCCCAGACCACCAGTGGGATGTGGGCTCACAGGGGTTATCACTGTCCTCTTCATGTATTCTGTTTGCTGATCACTAAAGGTCTTCTTGGCTTTGAGGTTAGAGTTGAGCACTTGGGTTTCTCTTCTCAGAAAAGGTTCAGTAAATCTGTTTATGACTTTCCAGTAGCCATTCCTGGCCCACAGGGAGAAAAGATACCCCAGAAAGCAGCTGTGAACATGCCTTGTTAAGGCTTTGTAGAACTCTCTTCTCACTTGAGTAGCAGAGTGAAGCAACAAATGCCCTAAATTGGGATGTATATGAATGACATACAAAGGACCCCTCCATCTGCAAAGGGCATGCTCCCAAGAGAAGAGCTGTGCACAGAAGTCTGTGTGACTTGCTTTTCAATATATATAAAAAAACCCCAACTCTGTAAGACAAATAAGCAGAAAACCAACAGGCTCCAGACTAATAGTGACTATGTTCACATTTCTCTTCAATAGAAACTTGTCAGCCAGTACCGCTTTGAACAAGTTACAAGTAATTTCACTTGAAAATACGTGGTCAAACTACTCTTCAGCCTTGAAAAGGAACAGCATTTATGTCACCATTTTGCTCTCCCTTTCTTGATTCTGTTGGACTAATATGTGCAAGAATACTTGCATAGTGAAGACTAATACTGTAATTTGGTCTAAACTTGCTTGATAGTGTCTTACTGAGTAGCAGTGGTAAGGTGCCTTGGAACAAGATACCTCTTCCTGAATCTAGACAAGTGTAATAAGCGTAGCAAGTATGCATGCTCTCTATGTTCTTTCATTTACTAAAGAATTTTATTTGATAGTAAGCACTTGGTGCTGTAAATTTTCTTTATTTGAAAGAGCAGTGATGTGCTGTCACCCTGAGTTTGATATTATGAAACTTTATGGATTCCTTTTTTGAGGGATGTCTGCCTTCCCACCCAACTTGGTTTTGTTTCTGTAAGCAGTTAAAAGAATTGAAAAGTATGAAATTGCTTGGATTTAAGTTGTGTAGCTATATATGCAATTGAGTTAATGGAGTTTCCAACAGAATGGAGATAACAGCATAAAAAACAAATTCTTGTCATATTTTTTTTTAAACATGAACAGCAGAAATGGAAAAAGAGTAGCTAAGTCTATTGAAATTCTGTGAATGCCAGTATCACTGAATGTTTCACTTCCTTTTTTTTTTAAAAAAAAAAGACAGATACATAAGATATTTACTGATAGCAAATATAAACTTTTCAGGCTGCTATCTTTCTTGTGTCAGTTCCAGTAGTAGGTAAATCCTCATTTTTTTCTTTTGGGAAACAGTGGCTTCCTCTACAACTGTTGCTTTTGTATTTAGATGGTTCTGAAATTGTTTTTTCCCAGACTGGAACAATGAAATGAGTGAAATCTTGGCAATGAATATTTTGTTGCAACAGGGCTAAATTTTTGTTAATGTAAAACCATAAATTCATCTCCTTGTAGGATTTGACAGACAAGAGCTTGTGCATTCAGCTTAACCCCAAGTCCCTAAGTAACATTAAGTTTCATGGGTCACTGAAGTATTCCAGGGCAAAAGAGAATATAAATGAAATGAAAACATAAGTGATAATTTCTGGATAAGCCAGGCAAACAATGCTCTAAATTTCTCTACAGAAATGAGACATGTCTGATCCTCTGTAGAACAGCTGTTAACCAAGGCTACACTACAAATCTCAAGCTGTAATGGTATGGCCAGTTAAGGGAGTGGATTTACCACATCACTTGAAGTTTTTATTTTAATTACGACATCCCTGCACTTCAATGAACTGATCAAAAGCCTAATCAAATTTTTGAATGGTATATTTTTTCTGCTGACACTAGATTATATTACTAATCAAGTAATTACTAATTAGATATGGCGTATCTAACTGTCTTACACTATCTACATAAATGTTCTGACACTATAGGTGGGAGAGTTGAGATGAAAAAAGGTCATCTAGAAATAAAAGAAGCTATCCAATGAATAGTTGACTTGAAAAAAGCAGCACAGCAAAGATGTGTACAGTGCACTTGAGACTTGCTCATGGTCAGATTGGCTTTTGCTGCCATCTACTGAAATACCAAAATCTCTCCTGTAGCCAGCAAATTATTTGCATCTGCTGTGTTAGAGGGTAATACAGGAGGCTATTTATTAAGACAGATGACCCTTGTGGGTATTGGAGGTGAGTGCCCAGTGCCAGACACCAATCTTAGTAGACAAGAGACCCTTATACTGGACTATGTCAGCCCACACTGAAGGACAACAGCCATCCAACCTCTGTCTCTAATAAGGACCTGGAAAATCTTCCACCTCTGCTCTTCTACAGTAATCTTGTCAAGAGGTGGGCAGCTCCTTCTTGCTCCTACAGCTGCTGTGTCACCACTCCCCCTCCCAGAGAAACTAGAGGATGCTATGAAATGGGAGCTGTCATAACTGATTTGACCAGTTGTTTTGTGACTCAGAAACATCACCTCCCAGGTTGACAGAAGCCCATCATCCTTTTTATGGATAAACCACCCTTCACTAGGCCCCTTGCTTTTCTAAAAACCTAACAGCATTACAAATCTAAATGCAGAAACATATTAAAAAAGGAGCCAAAACAGAAAATATCAAGGCATTAGAGTTGTGGATTAAGCCAAAACCTTTGGCTTGAGAAGACATACAGATTTTGAGACAAAAAGACTAGGATGAACATAGACTGAAAAGTCATTAATAGTATTATTACTTGACTGAAATGAAAAAGGACCATCAAAGCTGGAATTACAACCTGAACAAGATCATCTCAAACTAAAACATAACGTCTGGACAGGAACAGCCATTGATGAGACTCTGCCTTGGCTTTCCATTACCAGAAGAGCTCTCTTTGAAAACCTCTTCAGCCAACTGCAGTCACTCATACCTGGCAGACCATAAGGATGGCTAAAGAGTGCACAACTCCAGACTGATGAACAACAGCAGGGCCAATCTGATAGCTGGCTGCTGTGCATAAGCATTTCAAGTTAGTCCTGCTTATCACATGCCACCTTATCCAGTCATTGTAGCTCATCGTATAACTAATCTGCACAGTATTCTCCAGCCACCCCAGTTTCAGAAGATGTTTAATCTTTTTTTAGTGCAGAATCTCTACCTGTCAAGAGTCTTGTTACACCTCCAGTTCCTAAAAAACACTATGGATACTTCTGTATAATTACCAATTCATACTGACCTAGAAAATAAAACAAAGAGCATGCTTGGCTTACATTATTTGGCATGTGCTACGTTCTCATCACTTACCATATCACTGCAACAAGCTCTCTTGGGAACACTGGTCTTTACCTCATCTCTCAGCACAGGTAACTCTGTGCCCTGTTGCACCAACACAGAATAAGGGTCAGTATTTTCTTCAGTTAAGATTTCAGCCTTGTGTTTTTACAAACAGAAAAGGAAAAAAAAAATGGTTTTCATTTAATATTTCCAGGGGCTGAAACTGACAATTCAAAAAATTCAACTTATTTTGAGTTACAGCTTAAGGAAAAAAAAAAGAGGTCCCTACAACACTTAAACCAAGTGGCTCATTTCAGCCTTTATTAGAATAATTACAACTAAAAGAAACGTAGCACTTATATTTTCACAGCAGGACAAGCATCGTAGGAAGAAACGGGCAAGAAAGCTATAGCAATATGGTGGAAAAAAATAAAATTAAATAAACCAAAGCCAAATCTTGCCGCAAACATTACAGCTTCTTCAAGTGGAAACCACAGCTTTCAGGACAGCAGAGTGCAATGCAGAGGCAGCATTCTATGCTCAGAGAACTGGAGGACTGTGACACCAAACATCACTCAATTGTGTCCTAAGCCAGAGTGAGGAAGAAAAAACAAACATTTTGTGGTTTGGTTCACAGTCTGACTCAGTTCCCTTCCTCCAGCACAGCAGGCAGTTGATTGCCTCCATTCAGACAATGGCTGCACAGTCACTGAGCCATCTGGGCCTCCATTGCCTGCGCTGTCCATTCTGGGGCTGTCTGACTTATCTTCTCCAGCAGGTTGTTCACCTGGAAACACAGTGACTGAATCTGCTTGTCCCAAGTTGGCAAAGCTTCACGAGCTGAAAAAAAAAAACCCATACAAAAAGTAAGTCATAGCAATTCCCTTGCCTTTTCAACTGCAACTTTTTCTTCTGCCACTGCCCTCACCTACCTCACAGAGGAAGCCTTCCTTGCAGCTGCACCATGCTCATTTCTGTATTCAAAAGCTACAATGATTTTGGCTGTCTGTTACAAGCCTAACTGCTGCATTGCAAAGTAGAACTGAACAGAGAAACTTCCTGATGAACCTGTTCCTACAATGAGACTGATGGAATAAATTCATACTTTCCTGTGGGTAAGAGAATGCATAATAGGGATGGGGGGGGGAAGTGCAGTCCTCCATTAAGGCAAATTCTGCCACCTCCTGGTCACAGCAAGATGCAGCAAACTCACTTCAGATGGAAAATATTAAGAAACTTAATTTCCTTGTCCTTTAAGGCAGCAACTCAAAAAAGCTCACAGCTCACTCACTCTGAATGGTGCTAAAAAACTAAATTCCTGTGGTTAAACTTACTCTCAAAATGAACAATTCCGTCGATCTGATCAATGAATCCGTTCATGCGACCCTCAGTTATCATCTGAGAAGCTATCTTTTCTGCCTGAAATAATGAAGAGATGTTAGAAACTTCTTCCACACTGAAAGAAGTTAAAACTGATTAAGACTTAATCATCCTTACAGGTTTTTCAACATTTCCAAACACTGAGGAGGGGGAACCTACAGACAACAGTAATTATGAAATGATGAGACATCCTATCAATGGCATCTAACTCCACTATTGTTCATTCTGTATCATATACCTTTTCCTTCTCATAAGATGTGCTAGATACTTAACCTTCCTCATAATATGGAATATTTAATTATTTCCTAATATTTACCACAGCTATTTTCTCAAGTCTCTGACGCTCCTTGTTTTTACAAAAGATGTAGAAAACTGATACCTTAGCTGCAGGGATCTCTAGCAATGCTCCAAGCTCTTCAAAAGTAATGTTGTTGTAAAGTTTGCTTGCAGATAGTAAGTTGTGTTCAATAACAGCTCTGTCCAGAATACTGGAACCTTAGGGGTTAGATGAGGAAAAAAAATCCATTACTGTAAGATTGAAATACTTGATTTATATTGCAGAGCAAATGGAAAATACTTTTTTTACCCAAGGGTTATGTGAGTGGAAAGTCCAGACGCAGAAGAAAGTGAGTAAGAAGAAATGGATGGCACGTGGTTAATTTTAAGACAGGTAGCTTAAAACCTTTTATTTAACTTCTAGAATTATCAAGTGGAGCCCTTGGTTCTGCTACAAGACTCAACTCATCTGAATTTAGGGAGTCTGACCTCCTGTGATCAGTTCCCAGCTTGCCAAATGGAAAGACCATTGGGGTTTTTGTTATATTCATTACAGCTCTTAGGGGTACAATTAACCTCTCTCTTACTGTGCTTGTACAGTGATAAACCCTCATCTAATTTCTCTCTTCTTGATTTAACAATTTAATTCATTTGCCCCTTAACCTCTAGCTAAAATAAGCACATTATTAAATACCGACTAACCTGCATTCTTTTAACCTACAGGAACAAACAGTACAGGTTATAAATAAACAACAAATTGACCCAAGGAAAGGACTGCAGCTTATTGTTAGTAAGTACCTTTAACCACTTTTCACCTCTGTGATTATACAGTTGTCTATTTGCCCTTAATCAATGAATATTGTTCACTAGGAAGGTCCTCCTGATTAGGAGGTGTTTCATGCTTATGTATTTTTCCACCTCAATATTCTTCCAATCTAAAAAATTTGAGACCAAGCACTCTTTAGAGGTTCCAGGAAGAACAGAGCTAACAAGGTATCAGTGAGATTGATCATAAAACAATTTGGAGATAGTATGAGGTCCAAGTCATCCCCTCACTATCTGTCATCTTCCTGTCAAGTCAGGAAGCAGTTCAAATAAATTTATCTTCCACACAGACCATTTATGGCCTACATGTGTGTCACGTGCTTCTAGACACCCTATTTATAACAGTGCCTTAAAACTGGAGAAGCTCAAAAGGACAGAGACTCAAAGTACAAGGCAAGGTTAGAAACACTGGGAGGCTGTCAGTGAAGAGGACTGTCCATGGACAGAGAAACATGATTTTTATAAGTTACCTTCTTATAGAGTATTTCAAAACCTTAAGAGCCAATCAGAAAGATGAACTGTAGCTAAGAGTTTTACTATTAAATGATGCACATGAAGGTAACAGGCTGGGAAATAATTTTAAAATAATCATATAAGCAATACTAAACTCTTTTCTGCCACACTTGACTGCTTTGGGCAAATCTAACTCCAGTGGATGAACACTGAGCATTACAAGGCTTTAGAGAAATACATACCATCAGCTGTAGTTGCTTTCTGGTGAGGCATTAGCATAGCTGCAAACTCCTGCAGTTGATTTCCACGAATAATTCTGTCCAGATACATTTTCTCCAAGATCCCATAGGCTGCAAGCTGCTGGCATCTCTCATCCTTGAAGAGTGTAGCAAGCATGCGAGAACGCTGTTGTCCTAGGAGAGTCAAGAAGAATCCTCAGAAATGATCACCAAAGCACTGAGTCTTTACAGGTAAGAAACAGAAAGTGATCATGTTTTTTTTTCCTCAATACATGGAATTAACCAGCAAAGCTCTACCAAAGAAGGAACTCAGTTGTGTTCAGTTCCAAAACGCTGTTTGCCACTGACTTATCTTTTGCATCTTTAGCCAAGGTGCCATCTTATCACTGGCAAAGACACAGAAGTAATCCTGCTCTGAGTTAACAGTATGTTGACACTGTGTTCCCAATTCTGGATTCCTCAGCAAACCTTAGTGACAAGACACAAAAGCTGACTTCCTCTGTGGGACATGAAATACCTACATTGGGTCTTTTATACAAAAATGTAACGTGTATTTTACCTGCTGATGCCAAAATAGTACAATGCAAAGCATGCTTCAGTGCCTCCAGTCGCTCAGTTTCATGGACTATGCTCTTATAGGAGAGCTCGTTGTACCTTTGAGCAGCCTCAATGAACTTTCTTCTGTAATCAAGAACTCGAGCATAGCAAACCTAGAAAGAAAGCATGTGTCAGAAAAAGAAAGCTAACAGGGGGAGCTGCATAATATAGGTGTGTATAAATTGGAAGCTGCCACCTGCCTTATCAGGTGGCAACTTCCATAAATACTGTTCTACTGCATCCTAGGGAAATCTGTGTCTTCAAATGATGAGCTTGACTTGTAAAGCCCTTGCTAAAGTATCATGGAAAGCAACTGAAAGGGCGTTTCCCAGCACTATTCACATGTTAAACACAGTTTCTGGTGCTTAGACATTGGCAAAGTAAATGAAATATTGTGCAGCTGATATTGTACTTATGTAAGCTTCCTCTTCACTAGTGACACTGACAGCTAGCACTTAGGTAGCCATTTATGTTTTGAGTGTTTGCTTTTCCCTTTCAGCACTGTAACAACATCTGGTATTTCTTCTCCCTCTTCCTTTGTGCTTTTCTAAGGCTTACAGAAAATATTTACACTTTGAACTTTGAGGGTATGCTTTAAAACACAGCATGGCAGGAGAAAAAAAAAACAAAGGGAAAACTAACAAATCAAAACACCACACCCTGCTCACAGCACATCTGCTTTGTGTTGTAGAATTTTAACCACCACCACACTTGATTGGTACTGTCACACAATAGTCATCACTGTTCCTCCCATTTACTAAAATGGTTTGAGAAATTAAGTCTCTGAACTATGTACACAGTAAACCCACAAATAAACAGAAAAGTCAGCAGTTATTTTACTACTTCAGACTTAAAGCTATTTTTATGGATGGGACTTACTATTTAATTACTGTTGGTGAGGAGTAGGGAGGGGCTTCTGTCGTTCCTAATATTGGAGGTGAATTTTTTCCCCTTTCAGATTTACAGACAAAGGTGGAGGCACTATTTTCAACAATATTTCAGATGTTTTGAAGCCTAAGTTTTATCTTCAATCAGCTTTACTGCTGGTATGCAAGGAAACTTCACAGATTTATCTCCAAATCATAAGGAATGAGCTGTTTCATTATTGCTAAGATGTAGCTCTCAAGCTTCCAAAACCATTTTGAAGCTTTTCCCTTTGTCTCTTTTCTCATGATGAAAAGTTTTAGTGGCATTGCATAAAAACATCTCAATGTGGAAGCATCTCCCTTTAGAAACAGAGAAAGCAACAAAGCAAGTTAGACAACCTTATAATGGATCTGCAGCTGTTCATTAGTTGATTCATTCTGAAGCAGGGAAGCTCGATTAATATAAGCTTCTGCTTGAACTGGGTCATCATCCTCCAGGTACAGCCTGGCAATTTTCAGGTAGGTCTCCAGTTTATAATCTACATTGTATTGTCTGCAGAGAAACAGAAAAGCAAGTGCTCAGAGTTGCTCCACAACTACCCTTGCTCTTTGCTGTTCTAAATGTATATTATGATTTTTAAGCACTTGGCAATGTTTGCTTTACGCTGCTTCTTCTTCCCTAATGCCAAAATTAGTGATCTCTGTTCAGGGAAAGAAAATTTGAAATGAATGCCAATATAGGACTGGCTTCTACAAACATCAGTAGAAACAATGCTGTCCACCAAGACACAAATGCACACTCTAATAATCTGGTTTTGGTGGATTGGAAGATTGCCATAGCTGGTGAGCTACTTGAGCTAAAAAGCAAACTTGCAGTGGAACAGATGGGTGCTAAAGAGGCAAAACCTACAGAAATTCCTTCTACATGCATACACAGAAAGAGGATAGAAAGGACAGCCAGAGAAAAGTAACAGCAAGTGTTCTAGGCTTAAAAACCCCCAATCCACAAATCCACAAACAAACAAAACCCCACAAAAAACCTCAACCCAACTTCAAACCACGTCTTCAGTTTGAACTGTATAGGTGAACACGTGGAAGAACTGCCACCTTTCAATTACCTTAGAAGCATTTTTGGAAAATACTATCAAAAAGGCTGTTTATCAGCAAGACTAATAAATAGTGCAAAACTTCTGGTGCAGTATTTTGACCCACTGAACTGTTCAGTACAATCATCAAGCTATACTTTTGTCGTCTGGCAGTAGAGTTCTGGCCTGAACTACTGAAACTCTGGGAAAATATACCACCTCAGAATTCTCACTGGCTGGTCTAGTTAAGTACAAAGGCAGCAAGTATACTGAATAACACAGAACTGTGTCTGCACAGTACTTACTTCTGCCCTGTTTCCAAAGGGATCCCGACCAATACTTGGGCTGCATTTCTCCAGTCCTCTTCTTTCTCATAGATTGATGCAAGATGTTGCCTTATGGAAGCAACCTAAACAATAATAAAATCAACAGCAAACACTATAAAAGTTGAATGGTTCTGTATTACCTTTCAAAGTATTTGTTCATGTTCATTAATTCCCTTGACCAATACTCCAGCTGCACAGATCTGCACACACACACAACTCTTCCCATGTGAGGAGTCCTGTGTGGGACTCCTGGATCAAGCTTTTTAAATACAAGTGCTGATTTGAAGCATTTTCACTTAAGCCTGTGACAATATGAAAGGAGTTTATCTTGACAGAGCAATAAGTAGTAATCTTTTATAAAAATTAAAATCTTTATAATCTTTAAAATCTTTTAAAAAGATGAAACAAGGCTTTCAAGAACTGGAGCACCAAGGTTCACAAGCCATTTCTTGTGTTATAATTCATATAATGCCTGTGAGATATGAATGGGGTGAACTATGATTAGATCCCTAATGCAGAAACTTCTACTTTGTAGAGCAGCTGTCAGCAGGTAAAATATCAGTGCTTACAATCTGGGTTTTAGAAGCAGAAGTGTGGTTAAAAAAAAAGAAATAATCCTATGTATTTTATTTAATTTATGCATAATCATTATAACATGCAAGCAAGTATGCTCAGTTAAGACTCAAGAGTAAAAGCTGCTTAAAAAGACAAAAGATAAAGAGAAGCAAATAAAAATCATGATAGAAACTGCCTTGCTTTTCTTCTCAAATACTAGATCCAAAAGGCTTTTTACACAAACATCTCCTGTAAGAACTCTCAGATGATGGTGAATACTCAAACAACAAACCCAAGAACTGAATTGGAAAAGAACTGCAGCACATTCAGTAGTTAACTAGAATTGGGATTTCAAGAAAACATTTTTTCCTGGTAAAATGATTATGGATAAAATACGCACACACACACACGGAGATATTTATTTTGAAACAAAAAACTATTTGTCAAGATGCTTCTCTCTTTACATCACCTGCCTGTTCCATTAGTTGGGTAAAATGCCATACAATGAGTACCAGCCTGTCTCTCACTGGTACCTCAAGTATTGTTTCACTGTAAGAAGCCATTTTCTGGTAGTGGGGGAATTACATGCACAGCATCCTGATGAAGAGACAAAGTCTGCATTCTTTGCAAGGTCCTAAATACTCTCCACATTTAGCTCAAGTTTTTACGTGTACAGGAATGCAAAACTGGACTTGTAAGTAGGAGTATCTGTTTTGAAGAGCTTTTTTAAAGACTAATAACACAAAAAAAAAAACCAAAACAAAAACCCCTTGTTATTGATCTCTCACCTGCTCCTCGAATGAAATAACTCTAGGCTGTATCTTTTCCAAGGTGAAATGGTAAATTTCTTTGGCTGTGCTGTCAGGAAGACTTGGAAGATGGGTACAGAAATCTGTCAGTAGCTGACGTGAGATCACTAGACTGACATTTTCATTCACCACTGGTTCAGAGCCACATGGAAGAGAAAAGCACAACATAAATGTAATGTTTGTCGAGGTTTCACTGTAAGTGATCATTTGCTTTTATATTAAAGTTGAATATTTCAGGTTTTTAAATCCGTAGCCAAGTGAAAGGGATATTTTTCTTTGTTTTTAAAAGGTGCTTTTTTTTTTTCTCAGAAACAGTTTGTTTACACTAGAGGTCACCAGAGTTCTAACCTCTGACAGATAATAATGAATTTCTCATTCTGATTTAGTGTTTAGAGAGATGTTTTATTCTGAATCACTGTTCTCAGTTGCAGAAACGTCTTGGACAAAGTAAACCTTTATGTAGAATTTCACTAAGTTTATTCTCAACTTAAAATTACAACAGCAATAACTTCTAGAAATATTCAATAAGCCAAACATCCACAACAACACAAAAAAACTCCTAATTATTCCTTCTTGACAGATATGCAATCCCACAAACCTCTGGCCTTCAATTAGCATGCAACCAATTATACCAAATGCACTTACTTGCTTCTACAAAAGCTTTCAAAGCTTCAAGTTGTTCTGCACCTGACAGCTGAATGGCTTTTTCCAATATTTGACGGTATCTGTCCACAGATTAATAAATAAATAAATAAATAAATTAAAAATCACTCATAGGGCACATTTTTTCATTAACAAGTTCTGTTTCTTTTCTGTGTCAAAGCCCTACTTTTGCTTGTCTTTTCCATACCTCTGAAGTGGCAATTTTTCCAAAGTGTCTGTGCTTAAATGTCAGGAACATTCACCTGGAATTGGTATCTGGCTCTTTTTAAATCCCAGAACTAGATTCTCAGATAACATAGCTCATCATTTTGTTATCTGTGAATACATGTGCAATTTTAAAGGTTTTTTTTTAAAAAATCATGTTTTTATGGTATCCTCTGGGAAAAGTAACAAAATCCATTTTGCTCATGGATTAAGATTAATAAAGTTAATCAAAGTCAAAAAGTTAGTAAAAAAAGTTAGTCAAATGTCAAAAATGTTCAAAATTCAACGATAACGAGAAACAGCGTTGGGAGTGGGAGGTAAACAGTATGTTTTGGCCACTTGACGTGAGCACAGGCACAGATAATGCATTTTTAAGTGTTTATTCCTTCAAAAATAGCAACTCCAGTTTTCATGTTTCATAAAGCCAATAAAACTTTGCGTGGGCCATAACCTCAGCGTGCGCAACACTGATGAAGTACTGCGTCCACGTTGAAGCCAGATCTTGAGGGGAACACTTCCAAGTTTTTACATGCAAGTCCTAAAAGTGAAGCAATTCCTTTAAGAAAATAAGCAACCAGACCAGGATTTGAAGAATTTCAGTTGAGGGATCTGACATCTGAGGGGAACCCTCAGGGGAGAGAAAAAAATCTATGTGACACATGGCACCGTGAGTAGCTAAAACCCCAAAGTTTGCCAACCAAAATACCCACCTAATGAAAATAGTAATAATAAAGGAGTAATAATAAAGGAGTAATAATAATGGAGTAATAATAATGGAGTAATAATAATGGAGTAATGATAGTAATAACATATCTACAGCAGCCGAACTCTGAGGGGCAGACAGGAGGAAGCTACGGCGAAGGGTGAAGGGCTGAGGCCCCAGACGGGAGCCTGTGCCAGGACACCACCAGCACAGAGCGAGCCATGCTTAGAAATAAAAAATAAATTAAAGAATTACAGACTCATGAGGGGATATTGTTATTTTTTGTCTTTTTTTAATTGAAAAAAGCGCGG